TCAAAAGCAAGCTGTATATTCGTGAAGTTTAAAGGGGGAGGGGAAGGGTCATAATATCGGAGACTGCTTTGCGGCCTGGTTGGTTTCTTTGTAAACGGTAAGGCTTATGGACAGAAGTTTAAATATTTCCTCTGTAACACTGCTTTTGGATTTCTCAACCGAGTACCAAGTGGTAACTAAGTGAGTAACTGCCTCTTTTTATTCCGATCGCTATCGTTTTACAGTAAAAAATGTACCTGGAAATCGTCCAGTTTACTGATGTTCTTGCGGTACGCGAATTGTTTAGACCGGGAAACCAACTTGCCATTAGACCCTCTCTTCTCCTTTCTTTCTTGAGCAAGAAATCCTGATCTAAAGAAACCCAAGCACCTTGCACCTTGGCGATATAAAGTACTTCTAAATTGGACAAAACTTTAACTAAACCGGTACGTCTAACGATGATTTTATTATCCATTTCTTTCTTTGAAATTTGGCTCTTTGCCGAGGGCGTTCTTCGTTAGGCCTAGGTTAGTGAGCTGTGGCTTGATCACTAGTGCATTTAAAAGAGATAACAGGAGCCGCTGAGTAACTGATCTCAAATAACTTATGCAAAGAATTTACTCGGATAGCATTGAATTTTGTTTTTCTAGTTCATTCACTGTTGTTGATTCGTGCATGCCTTTTAACAGTTTCTTGTTTTCAACGCTGCCATCGGTCTGGATTTAATTAGTCTTTGTCAATCTTTACCGATGTCATTTCAGTTTTTTAGGTATCCCAGTTGTAGTTTTGAGGTTTTAAACAGGAAGAAGATATGTAACAACAACTTCCAAAGACTTCCACGAAGTATTCTAACTTTAAATCAAAGCACATTAGTAGTAAAAGCGTTATGTTGCATGTTTCCGTTGTTTGCAGCTGCGCTAAGATAAGGAATGCGTTCAAAATAAGTTAGTGACAGCAATATGTTGCATGTTTCTGTGCAGCAGCAGTCAGATTATGAGTGAGCTCAAGTAGCGGGTTGTCATTTGGTTTTAAATTCAGTTATTTTCTTATGGAGGTTACTCCTGTAATAAGCTCTTACGTAAGTTTGTAGCATATGTGGTTTAATCAGGAAAACTCTAGACCCCACGTATTCATTTTTTTTATAAATCCTGTTAGTTTCACATTGACCTTTTATCCGGGAGCTGTATACACTCTCAAAAACTATTTGAGAACGGCAAGCAATGACGGCAAAAAAAATATTTAATTAGCTAATGCGATTTAACTCCTATTTCAAGTACTGCATCATGATATTACCTGAAAAAGGTTAACTATGATGAAACCGGATCTAAAATAGAGTACAGATGTTTGTGGAAAAATCGTAGATTGCCACAGGGTCGGAAACTGCGGTTGAGTTACCTACCAGCAGTTATTCTAGTCACGAGAATACATGGCGTTTATTAAATTCAGGGCGTCGGTGTGTATCACAGACTCTATTTTTAGTGATAACAACCAGCGAACTGTTTCTCTGTAGGTTTGACAGTCTTTTATTCAAAAGAACTACAAAACTGTACTTCGATCTCTAGATTGTATTTTGCGGTTATTTTTTTCGTAAAGAAATCGATATAGACCAAACGCGAAAATAGAGCGAACTGACAACTTTTAAGCCCAGAAGCGAGCCTACTGCACATTAATGCAATTTCTTCCATCTCGATAAAAGTCTTACCGCTGATGTTTAGTTTCTCTCAAGTCAGGTAACTACCTGTAATCGTTTTTCCATAGATTACCGTTGTCTATAACTCGAAAACAATATGTAGGAGTCTGCAAAGCTACACTTAAGAATGCGCCCAGATTGCTTGTCTTGTCAGCGCAGGCTTATCTCTGTATTCATCAAACGTAGATGTCTTTCAGGATACGCAGATCAGTAGGGGACATCGTAAGCGGACCTTTGGGTGTTCATAACCCAAGGTAACTGATGCTGGTGCATGTATTTCCAGGGTGGAATGAGCCGGGCAATGTCCAGTAACGACAGGGTGTCCCTGACACGAAACAAATGTCTGTTTGTGCTGCTAGCAATACCCACCAACTCTTGAATACCAGGCATGTAATTTCCAACACCAATCACAAACATTTCCACGCCAAGGATTTTCAGTTGGAAGGCGCGGTACAGTGTGAGGTGGATGTTGATGTTGGAGCTTCCATCCGTGAGGAGAAGAACACGTTTTTTTGCTCGTGGTCGTAATTTAGAGTTTTTGTTTTGGAACAGCTTCGTGCGACATATTTCAAAGGCTTCTTGAGTGTTTGTCTTGTGGCCAATGAAGTGAACTTTGGTGTGTAGATTGTATTTAGCTGTTTGTGGGTCGGTAAAACTGAAGTCCACCTTGGCCTTGTCTGAGTATGTGACGGCGGCATAATGAGTATTCGGGCTTGCTTTATCGATCAGCCTCTCTAAAGCTTTGACGCCTCTGTAGAAATCGCGTTTACGAATGGAATTGGACGCGTCGAACACAAGTGCGACGTCGTAGTAAGTTTGATCGACACTCCTCCGGTGTCGACGTCGGACCATGTTCTGGATAAAAAATCGTTCAATTTTCTTGGCAGTGACACGTTTTGTTGGTACTCTTTGAAGTCCTGTTAAAACAATATTTACACCATTAATTCGATGTTTGACCTAAATCCTGACCAAAACGAGTCACTCAATGATATTGGCAGAATGAGAAATGTATTAATTCAGTTCTCAGAAAGCTTTAGTCTGTGAATACAGCCGCCTCTTATTGCTTCCGGTCGCTTTGGGCGTTTCTGTATTTCCAGGCTAAAAGAGAACTCTCTGAACGACTTAAGAACAACTGAGCACGTTTACATTCGATAATAAGAGCGTATGGAGAATCGACTAGAGTCGCCAAGAGTGCATGTGAGTTTTAGGTTTGACTGAGCTCTTGAATAATAGTGATAATAATAACAATAATAATAACTTTTTTGTAGTGCGACGTTTTATTGACAATTCTAGGTCTTCGGTTTGCTCCGTAACTTAAGAAATTAAAGACGGATTTTGCTCTGATCAGTCGATTTAGTTACATACAGTGTTTGTCGTTCTTCCGTATCAGAAGATGCTTGAATTATTTCTCCATTTAATATATACAGCGATTAATTGTTATATTCTCAAGGTATACACAAATAGAGACGTTTTTAGACTACGTAGGTATGGATTTCATGTAGTGCGACCTTTATCTTTATGTAGCTCATCGCCTTTCGTTTGTAAGCGCAGAAGTTCTACAAATAATTCTGATTAAACTAGTTGTGAGAGCGCGACAATAACGTATTCTATGCTTGCATCAGTACCACTTGTGCCTCGTTTCGTGCCGGATTACTTATTGTCTTCATCTCCCAGTGAAGCACAGGTACTTGGATTTTCGTGATATCATTCAAGGACTTTGTTTTTTACTATCATTTTCAACCATTTAAGGGTTTCCGTCTTGAGCGGCTCGGTTCCGGTAAATGGCTGTTTTTGATGTTGAATCATCCAGTTGTTCACTGCGCCAATTTCTTTCTATATGGCTGGACGATAAAAAGAGGAACGTAGTGCTAAGCACGCTTAATATGGTGCTCTATTTACCTCTTTAATTATGGGCGTCTTTGGAAATTCACTTATAGTGTTGCGCCAATTTACACAAAAGGCCGCTTCATCAAACGGAAGATCTTTTCAATTCTAGATCAAAGGAACGAACGAGCGTATATCGGCACGACTTGCGGTAATAGCTAACAAGTGCTTAAACTCACTTGACTGATGAGAAATTCCGCTTTTCTTCGTCTTTTCCCACACAAAGCAGTGTGAAAACATAACTAGTAACAGCAATAAAAATAGCTTAAGCAGGGACATCTTATCTGACGACTTCACAGCTTGTACTCCGCTCAGGCCCGATGGTTCGTTCTAAGGAGTGCCCAGCGCTTTGCGTCTGCCTAAAGCTCGAATATTCTCCGGGAGTTATGCTTGATTTTATCTCCATTGATATAAAGTGTTAACAGGTTAATGCTACTCAATAAAAGTGCCTTAGTTTGGTTTATATTTCACGCCCTTTGGTGTTGAAAATTAATTTGTGGCTACGTCTAGAAACTACCGCCCAATTCTTGAATTTGTCATCGTTCGGAAATAGCCAACGCCTTTGGCAGTATTAAAAACCATACCTATGCAGTCAGTGGCCTGCATTGTTTATTTTACCTCTTTCTTGGTTTGGCAAGAAGGCGAGAAATAAATGGTGCCGTATCCATAACAATAGCAAGCGTTGACGTTGGTGAGATTTTTCACTGATCAAGAGCACGGAACAACTTCTTTCGTCTGAACAAACATTATGAATTTAAGATGTCCTGAAGGTCGGTAGAAATACTTGTGTTTTGATTGATAGTCACCAGCTGAGGTTTCCTTCAACACTCAGTAATGGAGTAAGAGTTATGCACCGAAATTATTGTTTAAAACTACTTGAAAATATTCCGATTGAATGTTTGTACATTTTTCTTTGATGCTAACAAATGGAAAATTGCTCAGCAGATCAGCATTTTTAAATAATACCACGACAGTTGATCTGTTGGTTGACAGAATTGGAATGTTCTACATCAAGTGGGGAAATTTGACCACCCCAAAGCCGAGTTTTGTGTTCTCTCGTGAAAACAAAGGTTGTTTTGGCTGTGTTTGGTTCAAATATCCCGCTAAAAGAGTTGTCTCAGTAGTGTTTTGAAATACAACTTAAAATATCCCATGCGTGTGTTTTTCCTGTTTACTGATGGAACTCGCTGAAATATAATACAGAAAAGACATGTAACATGCAGATTTGAAATTCATTATCATTAAAGGAACTGGAATTAAAAGTTGTTCAACTGAGCAGAGCCAGAACGTAGACTCAGCTATTTCTTGTGTTTTCGAATCATAGTTATCGTTTCAGTTGAGTTTAGTCCACTCATGTGCTCGGGATCGAGCATATCCTGGTTCGGTGGATGCTTTCACATATCCTATCACCCACAAGCTTTTTTTTCCAATATTTTCCAATTCACTTTTTTAACCTTGCTAATTACAATTTCCTCTGTGGACAACGCGTAACACAAAAAGTTGACTTCCTAAACAACTCGCATTAACTAATATAAAAACTGAATAACGGGAAATGTAGAAGAAGATTGAGATTAACACAGGAAGAGAGCTACACACGCAGAAAAGGGAGTGAAACAACGGATAGAAGTTTGTTGTTGCCTTTTGTTGTCTTTTATTGTCTTGTTCTCGAATGATGGTCCCATGCTGTTTAAATAGTGGCCTGTGAGTGATCGGGAAATAGCGCTGACAAATAGCTTTACACCGCCAATGGCTGACGAAAAGAACACATTTTTTAGATAATCGCTTTGCAGTTGTCATCAGTGCGTTTTACGTCTTTTAGTTTGTAAAACTAGTTCAACTTTCACTGAGGTGATCAAAAGTAATCATCAGATTTTGTGCTTTGAAGAGAGTTTCTTCGCG